AACGCAGGCAGCGCAAATCCAAACCATATTCGCTACCTCAGCCGACTGATTCTGATACCGTAACAGCCTAATCTGTGTAATGTTCAAAAAAGTGAATAATGGATATGAAGACAAGTGTTGTGTATCAATACACCCACATTCAAGCTTTCTGTTCGGTGTAGAATAATTCATCTGGTTTAGATCAGATAGAACACACATTTTGTTGCAAGTGCAGAACGTGTAGTGTAAATTATAGTTGATACCTTACTTGGTCATTTGATAGCCTTGCTGGTGATTCAGTTAAGTGGGGGCAAGCAGGTCTGTATACACTTAATTGAATCCAATCAAACGATGTGTTTCTTTGCACTCAAGTGTATATATTACTCAAGAATGTGGTTTAATTCAACCCTTGAATATTAAATGTGGCCAAGCGCTTTCGACTGGTGCACCATCCGTTGCATCCCCAAGAGTGTGGAACAAAGCAGCTGGCTGAAGCCACATGCTAAGCGACTAAGGTTTAGGGATGCTTTTCCGCAAATAAATTCATTCACTTGGGTGCCATTCACCTCTGGACGTTGAGTCTGTGCTTTATTTTAAAAAAAATTATCACATGACTATAACTTGAAATTAAAATTAATTGAAAATTAGTAGCAGTTATGTTTGGTAAAAAAATTGTATTTTTAATTTCTGAATTAAACCCATTCAAATCGTTGAAATGTAGAAAGGTTAATAGTCGTTAAAGTCATTTAAGCCGCTGGCATGCTTTGTTCCACACTCTTGGGAATGTAACGGATGGCGCAACGAAAGCACTTGGCCAGATTTAATGTTCAAGTGTTCAATTAAACCACACCCTTGAGTAATATATATTTTATTACAAAGAAACCCATTCTTTGATTGGATTCAATTAAATGGCTACCAAAAACCTCATTTGTCCAAATAAAACTTTTTTCGTCTGTCTGCTATTTGATTAGCCCGATTTAGTTTGTACCGTAAGTAAAGTTGAAGTTGTGAATTGATCTGAGTTTTTTTTTCAATATCTGGTGGGCTTGAAAATGTCAGAAAATAATGTTTGATTATGTGAAACCGCCAATAGCTTCAACATATTCGAAATTAGTAGTTTCAAAAAAAGAAAGAGACACTTTTGTGTTGTTGCTGCAGAAAATTTCGTAATGCGCATTTAAGTTTGTAAGTTGCTAGTTTCTAAGTATATCCCATTAATAGCTATTTTTTTTGTAGAATTGATCAACTTGTCTGATTGTTTATAGATTTATATTGCAATATCAGGTAGTGAATATTACGTTGATTATTAGGTAGAGTGGAAGGAATTTTTAACATGCTCACAATGCACCAGGGAATGTTTTTTTGTTTAAATGCAGTCGACCCCTGAATGTTGTCATATAAATACATAAATAAATCATAGCTTGTTACGCTACTCTTTTCTTCGGTTTTTATACCTTATTTTTAATTAACAAGTGATCATATGTTGTGATCTGTTTTTTGTTCCCTGTTCGTAGTTATCGTTTATGTTAATAAAGTATTTTTAAATGGTTGATTTTTTCTCATTTCGCGTTCTAACTGGCACCCACAAGTAGATTAAAATCGATTCGGTTTCTTTTAATTGCTACTTTAAGTTTGTCTAGCCATAGGACATCCGATTCTTTGATGTGAAAAGAACTTCAGTCTGAATGAGGCTGACGCATTTCGATTAATTGCCCTCGCTGGCTGATCGTGATGTAAGCAAAGTTGAAAATAAAAAGCTTATAACCTTTAGACTGTATATTTTTCTATTGATGAAAGTTTAGCGAAATTTATGCATTTGGATAACAGGCTTGAACTGCTACAGCGCATAAGTTATATCCAATGGCCATTCGGATGTATCCAGATTCTCCCCAGTCAGCGCCCCAGGAGTTTTTGATTATCCAGTAATCCATACCACTTTCACTTCCGTAGCCAACCACAAGAACCCCATGATTGACAGACTGCGAGCAAGATTGGTCATTGTAAATTCCTCCTCCGTAACTTTGATAACCGTCAGCATTAAGAGCTACTGAAACTGGACCAACTGATCCGACAGCATTCTTCAAATCGCCTTCATCGTTCTGAGCTATTTCTGTGTAGCCGCTGATCTGGAAAATGCTGCCGCCTTGCCGGCAGCTTCCTTGAGCGCCTTCGTACGGATATGAGCTTTCAGCAACAATTCCATGATCCCTCACATAATCCAAACCACTTTGGACAATTCCACCGCTACATGCCGCCCCATTGTATCCAGCTTCATCAGTACAACAATCCATCAAATCCTGCTCACTGAGGGAAACGAGGTTACCAGTTAATCGAGCGTAAAGACCTTCCAATGTTCCTGTCTGAAATTCGAAAATGTTTATGTTGAGTAGTTTTGCGTAGGTATACCAATGAAGAAAAGTGCGTACCGCACTGAATGTCCAGCAAGATCCACATCCACCCTGATTCTTCACATCAGTAACCAGTCCTTGGTACCTCCAATCAATACTGTCCGGAATAGCAACTATAGATTTGTGCACATTTGTAGCGTTCATCTTGAGAGGTGCGGCTGACAACAATTTTTTAAACTCTTCTGGAGTCATGTCCGTAAATTGATTGACCGCTTTGTACCAAGTTTCTAAACCTTGTTCGTATCTGATGTTGTGTTCTTCAATGTTAGCAAGATTCGATTTGAATACTTCATAGCGAGCTTGATGTTCAGCGGTACTGGCGTAGTTTTTGTTGAATTTCACCTAAACGAATTTACCAAACGCATTTTCCAGTGGTTTGCAAATGAAATGGATTTAACTCACTTTAAACTTGTTCCACAGTTCCAAGTTTGCATTTGCGCTCAACAAGAGGCACAAGAATACCAGGAATTTAGCAAACATGCTGCTGCAACAAGTAGTTTCTTATATGGGCAATTTTTCATACCAGTTAGGTAAAAGATAACTAAATTAATTGATATCAGTCAACACGATTTTGATCTGTTCATCTATGTGAATAAAATGATACTTATTTGGTTTATGTACTTTAAATAATTTTTCACTCATTCTACTAGTAAAACTAGATGCAGTTTGCCTGCAGAACTTACGTGGTTTGTGTTGTTGAATACTTAAACTTACACTCGCTATAACGTAAAGTGCTGCCTGAGGCAAAGTTATTAGAATTTATAGAAAGAAATATCTAATCATGTCAGCATCATTCAAGATGATTTCAGAGTGTTTCTGTCTGTTCCATTGAACAAATTTAATTTTTTAAATCCTTTCAAGTGCTGATCAAAATCAACAGCATGCAATTGTGAAATCAAGCATTGTGTTTCGATTGCACAAATTTCAATTAAAACCGCGATCGAAACAAAATGCTACCGTTAAAAAATATGAAGATCTAATCATGTAAATGCCAAGCATTCTGACAAAAATTAACTTTTTTTGAAAATCATACCGTACATTTTAGAAGTGTTAGGCAAAGTTTATGCAACTATTGTTTTTTGAAAATTCTCAATTGTATTTGTATTTTTCTTATTTACATTAAGTTTACTTAAGCGAACTTACGATTACACTTTTATAACGGTTTTCCTTAATAGTTTAATAAAAAAGTGTCTTGCATTTCAAATGTGTCTAAATTATTCTAAGTTAAGTTGTCCTGATAGTCTGACTATCCCACTTTTTTGCACAGCTTCAAAGAGTTCGCTGAAAATTTGCTATTTTATCCTTATTACATGTTTGTAGCAATTATTGATACTTGGCCTTGATATCACAAGGATTTGCCAAGTAATTGAAAAATACTTCAGAATGAATTAATTTCCGTTATCGCCCTAAAAAAACACATATTTACAGGACTTTAGACAACAGATATCATCTTCATAACTACGCATGTAATTTAAAACCATTAATAAATACTGATCTTACCTACTTAAAAGTTCGTCAAGGAGAAGAGATTGAAATGTTTAAAAAATTAAGTGGCTTTTCATATATAAAATGCGGTTTGTTGATGGGAATTCTACCTAAGTGATACAACTTTATATATAATTTCAGCTGCTTTACTAGATAATTTCGAGATTTAATTTTCCTAGATGCGTTTGATAAAAAATGCAAAGTAAATGCATCCAAACTAAGGCAAGTAGCTAATAAAATCGCCTCCATCTGTAAAAAATACCTAAATCTAAAGCTTTTAAAGAAAGTTTAATAAAAATCGCCTTGAGTTCTGATTTTTTCCAGCTTAGTAAATATCGGTATAAAATTAGAGGTTTTTACTCTTCTGAGCTGTTCTTTTTTAAAATTGGCTTCTTGCTCGGTAGAAATCACTTGATTTTAAATATATGGAAAGTTTCCCAACAATCAGTTCTTCTTGAACTTGAAAATTTCGGCAGGTCCAGAAGATTCTAATCCAGGTTACAGTTTCATAATAATTGCCCTCAATACTACTTTTTTTGACTGCTTAATGAGTAGCCATCTCAAAATTACCGGACATAAATGCTTTTGCCAACTGCGCTGTCTTTAGATCATCTTTAGAAGACAGTTGAGGCTAGATGAAAAAAGTTTCATAAAAATCGCCATTAGTGCTGATTTTTTGCAGCTGAGTAAATAACGGTCTGAATGGATGCTTTCCACTTTTTGCTAGTATTTACCAGGCAGTTTAACGGTCATACATTTTAAAACACTTCGTATATCACACCAAAAGTATGTATACAAAGTATACGAAATTAAATAACTTACTCAAATATGCAAAACCTTAGCAATTAAAATCAAACACAATTAATTCAATTGAAAAAAACTTTTTTATTTGACATAAATGAGTGCATATTCTTCCTTTTGGTGGCCTTTTTCGTCATTTATTAAATCATTCGATCCGTGATGGGTGAGTTATTTCTGGGTACTATGAAGCAAAGCTATATAGGAGTAGCTGGCCTTAAGAATCTAAACAATTAACGTAATTCAGTGATAAAATTCCTTAATATGCGAACGTACATACTGCGATGTAAGTAGAAAGATTCATAAATCCAAAAGGTCCAATTTTAAATTTAAGCGATTTTCTGGTTCTCATTATGAAAAAATATATCATGAACTTTACGTAGTGCGATTGTTCATACCAATTACTTTTCCAGACTGATAAGTTTAAATTTTCGCTCTGGAACAACAATATAATTAACAGTAATATAATTAAGATAAATTGAAATTTTTTACATTGCGATGGTTTCTAACTAAGTCTATTACTCTTAGTTTGAAAATTCTTACCAATAGCCAAACTTCATTGGAATAATAGTAATTCATGAATAATCTCTGGTTTAAATATGTTACGTACATAAACACAAACCCATAGAATGTGATCGAGGGCTCGACCTAAGAAAATAACCAGATGTAAACTCCATATTTGATATCTAGTTGAATTATCCTTTACCCATAGTAGTTGAGCAAAGACGCTGGTAAGCAATAAAGAACTTTGAGCGAAATCCACTACCATAAATATGTTCATGCAAGCGTTTAAATCATCTACATAACTGTAAAAAATTAAGTTAATAATTTATGTTGTGGAAATATCAAGTAGGTAAATGAAGCAAAGCAAGTGGGGAACTTAAAAACAAATATTTTTATAAAAATATTCTGGTGTTCTGGGAGAAGTGAAATAATTTGCATTAGCAAAGGTACAAAGTTTCCACGATGAGCGCCTTCTAAATCTAAAGAGCTAATAAAACGTTGTCTAGTGGGTCAGAAAACCCTTGAATCACATTTGTACTTTTTTGTCGTGTAAAATAGCTTACAAACAGCACATTTCCAGACGAACAAAGAACATTTTTCATGATTGATATCCAGAAAAACGTAAGAGATCTAAGCACGGTAAAGGTTGCACTTTTGACTGTTGTTCGATTTTCGCTCTACAAATTAAGAAGTTTTGAATGTTGGCAATTACCAAATTGTTTAAAAACTGGAATAAATGGGAACTTTGAATAAATTATTTTAAGTATTTGTGTTAAAATTTGGGGGTGTACATTAAAAGATAATAGCAACTTGACTTTTTTAAAAACACTGTAAGAGTATTCGCTCTTTTGCAAGCTAAAAATTTAAAATTTATTGATTATTTAAGCGGTAGCCGTTTTGCGAAGAGAAATAATTTGATTTAATAATTTATGATTATAATTTCCCGAAATTTCAAATATTAATCTTTCGAAATAAATACATTTTAAATCGTGCAGTTGTAGCGCTATTAAACATCTTTTTCGATAAATAGCTTTTTGAAAACTTTCGTTCGGTCTTCATTCTTGGCATGAATCAAGTGGTGGTAACAACTTAAAAAATACATAACATACGCAATAATATTTCGATGCAAATCAATGCATGCTTTCAAAGTAATAGCGCCGATAGTGTCGTCATCCAGCCCCGGATAATTCAGTTTCATTCTATTCTTGTAGTTCTCAAATTTGCTCAAAATGTGATGCAAAATTTGCAATTGTCCAACAGGATAAATTAACAAAAGGAACGTAATTATATCAATCGATAGCACAATTGATGTCATTACTAGATTGTTTAGGACGTTCCAGAAATATACGCTCTGAAAAAAAAATCAAATTTGAAATTATCTGCTGGATTGAAAAATTGTCTAATCACCAAAAAATGTTCCTGTTCGTTAAGCGGCACCCATATAGATAAGGGCAGGCTAGTTATTTGCAAAGATTCGTTTTTATAATTTATCTCGTAAGCATCTGTAAAGAAAGGTCTCAACGAAATAAAAAGTGCCATTAAATAGGAGAGTACTATGAAGAAAATGGTATGGCGATTTGATATGATCTTGCAATTCTTGTAGATTCTGTGTACCTAAAAAAGTATGTTATTGAAGTTTTACATCGGGAACCTGCGCAACTTCGGGAAACTGTATTGTCTCCAATATAATTAGTGAACATATGCATTCTCCCAAATTGTTTGTACGGTTTTACATACCAGACCAAAAATATTCCCAGTTTTTTTCAAATTTACAATATTCTTTTTTAAAATGCATTTTTTCTGGTTTGATTATGTCTTCATGAAATCAATGTTTAGTTGCATTTGAATAAGTTGAAAATGTAGAAGCAAATTTTTTCATTTATTAAAAATTTTTAACTTTTGATTTGTTATCCTTTATATTAACATTTTGTTTCATTCCAACTTAAAAAGCCAAACCAGTATGAATTAAAGTAATCGATATGTGAAGGATACATAAAATAACGTGTTTAGGGCTTTTTGCGAACATAAAAAACATTGGATAAATATACCTCCGCATCATTGCTTGATAAAATATACTGTTCAGCATCAATAATGAATGTAATGTTTCGTAAAAATGCCGGATGCAGTTTCATGACGAACAGCCTGATTATTGTGACCGTACAAATCACAGAAACAGTTATATTTTTGGTAATCTCCGGTATTCGAAGCGTATCTTCCAAGCAAAGAAAAACCAGCGCCAGCCACATACTGACTGTAACATACATATAGTAGGAAAGGATCAGTTTCGAATACAGATTGTAGAGGTTTTGGTATGTTTTATTGCGCTCAAACATCAGCTGCCACGGGAAAATTCCCATTTGGCCGGTGAAAATGGCATACAAACGTAAGAAGTCTGAAGATGGAAACACCTGAAATCAGCAGAACTATCCCATTATTTTGTCACTATTCATTAGTGCTAGTAATGAAAAATTAAAACTAATTTAAACACTTTCCTTGCTACGTTTGTCAACTGGATCAAGCTTTTCAGCTTGGTTCACTTTTGAATTCATTCTTATGAAATGTATGGCATGTATCAAGCGGGCACAGGTGTACTGAATTCACACTAATCATGGATGTCTGTATTTCCTCATAATTGTTGTACTTAGAGTAATTGGAGAGAAGGTGGAGGCAATTTTACATAAAGAAGTCCGCAGTATTATTAAGTAATAAATAGCTCATAGGCGTCGAAAATTTCCTAGTAAGGTACGAATTAGAAAAAAACATGTTTTAATCAAATTGTAATTCTTGCTAGAATGGTCTCTCGTCAGTAGTCCAGTTCAGTTAGTGTAAAGCTAAAATATGAAAATAGACCAGAGTTAAATGATTAAGTAAAAATAGTTAATTTGGTTTAGTATTTTTGCTTTCAAAATTGCTTAATCTTTCTTGTCTTGTTTCAAAGCTGCAAAAAATTCGAGCTAATAAATGTCTTTGAATAATAAAAGTAATTTATAAAGAAGCGAAAAACACGTTAAAGACAAACCACATTCTTATATTCCGTTTTTTTTTGGAAATAAAAATATTTTATATTTCGTCCTTAGTTCAAATATACTTAGTGTTTTTCTATTTGAAAATTAACAAAAAATCGGATAGAAGATATAGAAGTGTATCTTCTATATTTCATCATGCGTTTATTAATGCTTTTTTAAAATGAATAATACGTTATTTAATTATTATGCTTCTCTTCTAATTGCCACTGGAAGTAATGTGATAATTTTAATATTTCCAGTGCAACAACTATAAAACGGTAAATAAATCGTCGTATTTACCCTATGGATTGGAAGAATTAAACTTAATCATTATAAAGTTCAATATGATTGATTAACCGACGTTTCTTCAAATTTTTATTTAAAAAACTCCTGCCAGGTCCCTGCTTTGTGTTAGTGTGTCAATACTTTTTTTAATACATCGATTCCCAGATACACAAAAAATTGTATTAATAGCAAAGAAGCTATAAAATTGTCTTATTTTCCAAGCGTAATATGTTATTATATTATATTTAATTTAACTTAATCGAAGCCTCATAACATACGTATAATTACATCATAGTTAGCCAGTTAAAACGTATCAGCAGTAAATTAAGCGAAAAAAACTGGTAAAGAATAGCAAGTTGCGAGCTTTAAGAATACGTATTTTTTATTATTACATTGCACTTAATTGTGACCATTTAGAATTGGTATAATCAACTTATCCCTATCAAATTAAGTTGTAAGAAGCGATGCTATTATTTTGTTTCAAATAATAATCACGCTGTATAATGGTTTTAAGGTGTAATTGGTTCGCCCTACAATTCTAGATATAGTTATCCTATCGCTTGGTTGCAAATTTTCATATTAACTATTCAAATGTGCCATTTTCAACACCAACATCGAGGTTAAATAATATAGAAACATGCATTTGTGGGCGTTTAAGCGATCGAGTAGACTCCAACATTCCCATATAAATAAGAACTAAACATATTAGTTTGCAACAATAGCTTTTATTACAGTAAAGTCATTTTCAGTCAATTTCCAGAAAATTTCATCAAAAAGCCTCGCGGTAATACACATAGGTGAAATAGAATTAGTGTTATTTTCAGGTTGAAGGATAATAAAAAGAAAAATTATAAACAATAAAAAACTTTTTCATTCAACTAAAATCCTGAAAATCCGTACGTAAAGTAAATCAGTACAATATGTTTTATTTATGCTTTATTATAACACAGAATTAGTCCTATTAGTAAAAATATTTCCGCAAATTCATGACTTTAAAATAAAAAAATAAAAAGCTGAACTTTTTACTAATTTTTCAGATTTGCATGTTATATATTATACATTCTGCTGATTTTATTTGCGATATTTTCAATTGTCTCTTCAGAATATTTTCTTAAAATTAGCGATAAAAATACCAATTGATAAAAAAATACACATAAAATTAAATAATTAAAAAAACGAAATTAAACTTTCTGTCTCTATATCTCTTCCTTACTTCTATAATCTAGTAGTATTGCGGTTCTTCACATCCGGTAATTTTCGAACACTTTGTATAATATAATGAAGTCATTATAAAGCACTTTAAATACAATTAGCTTTTTACCATTAGAAACCTTTTGCCTGAGATTATAAAAATTGTATCGTTGACATAAATATAAAAAATTAAGTATAAAAGCATTGAAAACATCAAAGATAATATCTTTCATTTTCTTTGAAACCCACAAAGTTTTTAGCTAATACAATATTTTATGAATCATTGTTTCAGTTGCAATGAAGTGAATATTATTGCAGTATGGACGTCTTTAATACAATTATAGAAAACGGTAAAATTATTAATATTTCATTAATATTGTGTTAAAAAGTATGTTTTAATTTGCAAGAAAGGAATATGTCAAAACAAATCAAATACGATTCTCGAATAAGATAATGAGCCTTTATCTACAGGGTGTTCTCTAAAAACATGGCAACAAAACTGATGACTGATGACGAACTGATTTAAAAAACATTCAAATTAAAGATGATATAATCAGTGATCTTTCTTATTAAGTGTGCATATTATTAAATATTTTTTTTCAATATTTATTTTGTCAAAAGTTCATCAACTTCTTTTGCTGCTCGGTTTTTTTAGATAAAAAAGCTGCTTTTAATACGAAAACTAAATCCAAATTTTCAAAATTAGAAAAAAGTCAATTCCCTATTTATATGTGAATTGCTTCAATTGGGTAACAATTCACACGTGCTAATAAATGGATAAATAAAAATTCAAACAAAAAATTATAAAATAGATACATTTGAAATTAATTTTCCGCAGTTAAAACAAAGTATTAATAATTCATTCACAAAAGTGAAGTTGCGAAATCTCAATTTTCTCAGCTTAACATTAAAATGAACGTGACGTAAGTTTTTTATTAAATTTTTGATGAAATACAATCATTTTATGATTTATGAGGAATTTTAAAAAATATGTATTAAAGGCAATTAAAATTATGCTCTTTTTCATTGCTTAAATTACAACATTCCTTGCATAAAAAGGATATTTATTTGCATATTTAGATCTAAATCTGTAATAACAAGCAATAAATAAAACAACTAGCAAAGTCTCAAAAAAATTATGTAAGTAGTAAAAAATTGTAGAATTAAAATGTCTGAATATTCTTCGGATTTTCAGGAATAATCTTTGGTTGGCATGTTTCTAACGTTTTTATTTTTAGGTCACATAATGCCCTTAACATTCAAATGCCAAGCTTTTCTCAAGTACAAAATGGTAAAGATTTTCGCTGCAATCACTTTGGATGGGATATGCCCCACAACTGGATGGGATATAGCCCCATGTTATTTGCACCGTCATTTGTATGTTTATAAACCTTTTTTTATAATCAATATTGAAAAATCTAGTATTTTGTATTAAATATTATGCCATTTTAAAGTGATGGTAGACTAATTTTAGATGTTAATTCACCTAGAGGCCTCAATTGAAGTTCATTTGAGGTTTGAGGAAATTACTCATAAATTTATGTCCCAAGTTATATTCATTTGGAAAATGGCCCTGCCAAAAGCCAAAAGTAGCATTTGCTACAACTCCAAGATGGGAGATTGGTGTTTTGTTATTGAGGGACTGATTATAATTTCATCGACCGAATTAATACGACAAGAACTGGATTCTCATTTGTCTGATTCTATCGGAATAGTACATTTCGTAGGTTCGGGTTCAATTTTTTCGTGTTGGAATTATTTTCTTTAAAGTTCGATTTTAGAAAATTACTTGCCATATTTCAAGATGACAATCGTTTGGTATGTGCGATTAACGGTGCCATTTTTATCCATTATGCTGGTTATTGACCCATTTTATTTCATTTATATCTCGGTTTTGCTGGACGCAATTTTTGGTTTTGACCGAATATGCCTACTCGTTTTCAAATGTTCAGCTTAATGCACATTTAGAAAATAGATTAGAAAAGCGCCACATGTCATGTGAGAAGAGTTTTTTTAGGGAGAACTTTCTTTTTTTGATTAAACACTATCAAAAAGTAATGCAGTAAGTACAAAATTAAGGTTTCAGGAGACGTGAACAGGTCACTTATGTTTCGCTTATTAAAGGTTTCATATGGAAGCTAAGAAAAAGCTATATTTGGGCTGCGCTATGTCAGGTCTGGCAATAGTAATTTTGGTAATGTTTCATTTATCGTCTATTTTTGGAGTATGTTTTTATTCAACACAATTTCCACTTGGATCTGAATATTTTTTTTGTAGAAAAGGTTTGCAGCTTCTACCGTTGGTTATTGGTTGTTTTCAATGATATCGCTCATTGCAGTTATCAGCTATAAACTGCAGTTATGTGAAAATCAGGTAGGAAAATAAACTTTTTTTGAGAAAAAAACAAAGAAGCAAAAAATTTACTGCACGATTTAAGCTTATTTATTTACAGTTCAGGAATTGATTTACATTTTATCTATTGGAGACGGAACCGTACTTTAACGATAAATCATACACCATTTTTATTAATAGGAAGTCATTTAAAAATTTGCAATAATTGATGAATGAAAAAATCAAAAAGGAAATTAAAATATGCATTGTCAGTTTGCAATTGAGTGGCTTTCATCCTCAGAGATGTTCCATGAAAATTTACCTCCTTCAATCGATGTCTGCGAAAGCCTAACTTTTTGCATAAAATGTATTTTCATTTGTAA